TGGAGGATTACAGAGGTACAAAGAGATGTTTTTCTTGCCCTATTGTTTCCGTCTGTTCCTAGTGAGAGCGTTCTCCTAGTGTTCCTAGTGAGAGCGTTCTCCTAGTGTGTTCCTAGTGAGAGCGTTCTCCTAGTGTTCCTAGTGAGAGCGTTCTCCTAGTGTGTTCCTAGTGAGAGCGTTCTCCTAGTGTTCCTAGTGAGAGCGTTCTCCTAGTGTGTTCCTAGTGAGAGCGTTCTCCTAGTGTGTTCCTAGTGAGAGCATTCTCCTAGTGTTCCTAGTGAGAGCGTTCTCCTAGTGTTCCTAGTGAGAGCGTTCTCCTAGTGTTCCTAGTGAGAGCGTTCTCCTAGTGTGTTCCTAGTGAGAGCGTTCTCCTAGTGTGTTCCTAGTGAGAGCATTCTCCTAGTGTTCCTAGTGAGAGCGTTCTCCTAGTGTTCCTAGTGAGAGCGTTCTCCTAGTGTTCCTAGTGAGAGCGTTCTCCTAGTGTGTTCCTAGTGAGAGCGTTCTCCTAGTGTTCCTAGTGAGAGCGTTCTCCTAGTGTTCCTAGTGAGAGCGTTCTCCTAGTGTTCCTAGTGAGAGCGTTCTCCTAGTGTGTTCCTAGTGAGAGCGTTCTCCTAGTGTTCCTAGTGAGAGCGTTCTCCTAGTGTGTTCCTAGTGAGAGCGTTCTCCTAGTGTGTTCCTAGTGAGAGCGTTCTCCTAGTGTGTTCCTAGTGAGAGCGTTCTCCTAGTGTGTTCCTAGTGAGAGCGTTCTCCTAGTGTGTTCCTAGTGAGAGCGTTCTCCTAGTGTTCCTAGTGAGAGCGTTCTCCTAGTGTGTTCCTAGTGAGAGCGTTCTCCTAGTGTGTTCCTAGTGAGAGCGTTCTCCTAGTGTTCCTAGTGAGAGCGTTCTCCTAGTGTGTTCCTAGTGAGAGCGTTCTCCTAGTGTGTTCCTAGTGAGAGCGTTCTCCTAGTGTTCCTAGTGAGAGCGTTCTCCTAGTGTGTTCCTAGTGAGAGCGTTCTCCTAGTGTGTTCCTAGTGAGAGCGTTCTCCTAGTGTGTTCCTATTGAGAGCGTTCTCCTAGTGTGTTCCTAGTGAGAGCGTTCTCCTAGTGTGTTCCTAGTGAGAGCGTTCTCCTAGTGTGTTCCTAGTGAGAGCGTTCTCCTAGTGTTCCTAGTGAGAGCGTTCTCCTAGTGTGTTCCTAGTGAGAGCGTTCTCCTAGTGTGTTCCTAGTGAGAGCGTTCTCCTAGTGTTCCTAGTGAGAGCGTTCTCCTAGTGTTCCTAGTGAGAGCGTTCTCCTAGTGTGTTCCTAGTGAGAGCGTTCTCCTAGTGTGTTCCTAGTGAGAGCATTCTCCTAGTGTTCCTAGTGAGAGCGTTCTACTAGTGTTCCTAGTGAGAGCGTTCTCCTAGTGTGTTCCTAGTGAGAGCGTTCTCCTAGTGTGTTCCTAGTGAGAGCGTTCTCCTAGTGTGTTCCTAGTGAGAGCGTTCTCCTAGTGCGTTCTTAGTGATAGCGTTCTAGTGTGTTCCTTGTGAGAGTGTTCTCCTAGTGAGAGCGTTCTCCTAGTGTGTTCCTAGTGAGAGTGTTCTCCTAGTGTGTTCACAATCGACTTGAGAATGGTCCAGGACGGACCGAAACGTCGTCGTCCCTTCACCTTCTAGTGTGTGGTCTGGTCAACATCTACATCTCTCTCTCTCGTGAATGTTGGTAATGTTACATCCAAACTTTGAGTACTGTAGTTTGGAGATGTTAGATAAAGTTGGGCAGATCATTACGCAGCATCAGCAACCAATTAGCGGATTAAATCATAAGATGAACAAGAACCGTCGAGCTCAAGGACAGGACTCTTTCTTCCTCCTTGAGGGCCAGGAAGAAAAGTTCCTCTTGAATAGTTTAAAAAGGTTGGATCGAGCTAAATTTAGTGCTTGGCTTAACTAACGAGTCGAGAAGTGAGAGTAAGTGGCCTTTCCTGGATATAAATGTCTCGGAGAGGAATGGTGGGCTTTACACTTTTGTCTGTGCTAAGGGAACTACCATGGGGGTGGTTCCCTTAGCACAGGGAAATACCCTATACCTTAATGGTAGTATAGTGGGCGCCTTGACTATCTTGTATAGGTATACACATTAGTGTATACTAATGTGTACATGTATTAGTATACTGACAGGTATAACAGTAGCGTCGTTGTCGATGCTTATGTTAACCATGTTCTGGTGGAAGGTGGCTAAGTGCTAAAATCCTGGTTTGTGCCTCGGAGAGGCTACGGGATCCAGTAAGTTCAGTAGAACTTCGGTTTCAACTCTTTTTTAACCCTGTCGTAGCTCAGTCGATTAAGGCAGTGTCTGGGATGCTCCCGGACGCAGGTTCGAATCCTCGTCACGGATTTGTTCATTTAACCATGTTCTCACACTACACACAGCTCCAGTGGGAAAAAGGTTGAGGAGGAACTCACTCCAATATGACAGGTCTATGTCAATAAGGAATACTCTAACTCTTAGTCTGAAAGATCCAGGTCTGTTAGGTCTTAGTCTGTTTAGGTCCAAGACATCACTAAAAAGGAAGGTGAACTGCTATGTTACATGTTATGAAGAGGTCAAAAACTTCATAATCGATCCATCCTATTAAACTCTTTTTAACATTAACTTCCTTTTGACGGTCCACAAGATCTAGAAAAAATAAGTCCTAGAAGGCATAATCAAGAGCAGCGTGACCACTACCAACACTAACAAGCTTAAGATAACCGCACAGTTGCTTAGATGCAACATTCTAGATATCATAAAAAACACCTGGAAATAGATAATTGTCATCAATTCCTTCGCATCGACTTGGGGGACTGTCTGCCCCAACATTCTCAATATGTAGGTAAGACGCCAACCTTTGAAGGCCTCTGGCATTGGATATACAATATTCTCTCAAAGAACACATTATATCTACACACAACCAGACCACCAGAGAGATCCTGACCAACAACACAGTAATCAATAGATACAACGAAAGTAAATGGGACATAGACGAAGCACTTCAAATCAAGCACTCTCCTCCAAATATCAACAGAGAGCTTATATTTAGATATATATGTAGTTCACATCTCACCCACTGTCTAAGACAACATCAAATTGTTAAAATCTCACTTCATCTCATCCTACATGGTCATACTGAGGCTTAAGATCATTTTTATCCACTACTCCTCTGCCTCCTAAAATTTTGAGAGCTTCCACGAACTGTATCATTAAATGCTAAATTGTCAAATGAATTTTATAGTTAATTTTCCATTTTCATTCCTAAGCGAAGAACAGCTATATTTATAAATTAGAATGTCTGCTCAAGATTAGAGGCCAGATGTTTGAGGCTAGCTTCACACAATTTTTTGCAGTAATTACTGTTGGGTACGTGACCAGCATAGCCAGTTCAAATTCGGTACCATTTAAACGAGCACAGTATGGCAAAGTGCCATAGGGACCCATGTGAACCTCTGGGGAACACTGGGACTGACTAGACCTTTAAAATGTTATAAAAACAAAATTTACAAGAATTTGTTCTTCATACTAGATAACCAAACATTATATGCTGATGTCTGCAAAACTGTCAAAATAATTCTACAAATGCTAACTCTGGCTACACCAGACACACATATATTGATGAATACATTATGTATTGAAGACGATTAAAGTAATGATGAGAAGGTCGTGAATGGTAGGGAAGGTGGTGAGGAGTAGCGAAGGCGGTGAAGATAATATCTCCAGATGCAGTACCTGGCAGTGCCCAGGTAGTGACGATGGTTACAGTGATACAGATGGCCGTGTGTTGTGTACATGGCTACAGTGACGAAGATAGTGTGTGGTGAAGATGTGGCCTGCGTCACCCGAGCAACGACGAGTACCCCCTCGAGTCTGTCTGTCTATCTCTATCTCTCTCTATATCTCTATATATATATATATATATATATATATATATATATATATATATATATATATATATATATATATATATATATATATATATATATATAGACAAGTGAAACAAATATAGAAAAAGCTTTTATAATAATGAGAGGTAAATGGAGAACGCTTGGTAAAGCCAGAGAGGAGAAAAACCCGGTGAGATTAAGTGGGCGAGAATCTCCGACACAACACGCTCTCTTGCTCTGAGAGAGAGAGAGAGAGAGAGAGAGAGAGAGAGAGAGAGAGAGAGAGAGAGAGAGAGAGAGAGAGAGAGAGAGAGAGAGAGAGAGAGAGAGAGAGAGAGACACAGACAGACAGACAGACAGACACAGAGAGAGCGTCGTAAGGCATCCAGCAGTTTCATCACACACTACCTCCCACTCCATTGTTAAAGAGGTAGAAGCAGCAAGAACAGCAGTGTAGCAGCTGTAGCATCAAGAGTGACATCTATAACACCAGCAATATCATTACTAACAGCACTGACAGTAACAACAGCACCAGATAGCAGTAGTAATGATAAGAGGTAGTACTAGCAGCAACATATATGAGTACCAGGAGTTCTTTAATATAGATGGAAAGAATTCAACTCTTTGACAAACGTGACAAAACAGAGAAGCGAAGCCCAAGTCACGATTCATTTTTCCGACTCGACCCGAGCTGACGATAGAGGAATAAATACCCAACACAGTTTTCCTTGTGTGGAGGAAAACCTATTCCACTTTTTCCTTGTGTGGAGGAAACCCTATTCCACTTTTTCCGTTGAAAATAGGGCATGGGCGATAAATTAAGAAGAACGAGGGGAGAGAGGGAATTATCAGAAGTGTCAAGCCATTACGACTATATAGCACTCGGAAGGGGTCAGGATAAGGAATAGGGATGGGACGGGGGAAAGGAATGGTGCCCGACCACTTGGACGGTCGGGGATTGAACGGCGACCTGCATGACACGAGACCGTCGCTCTACCGTCCAGCCCAAGTGGTTGGGCAAGAGAAATACGGATAGATAGATGGATAAAAAGGAACCAATTTTTGTATTGGGGGAAAATAATACATGTCAACGAATGTATGAGTAATGGAGTCCTTTCCTTTCCAGATGGAGGGAGTGCCGTACGAGGTGCTATGGTGCCAGTGCCAGGGCAACGCGAGTGCCACGCCCCACCAGCTCCTCATCCACGAGCAGATGACCAAGATGCACGCCGACGCCCAGCAGCACGCCCTCTGGTACGTGGGCGTGGTGCTGACGCTCTACCTCCTGGGGCTGGTGGTCATCATCAGGAGGTCCGGACGGAGCGAGAGACACACCGCCGTCTCGGCTCTCTCCTTCTGCTTCTCCCGCGTCGCTGCCTCCGTGTCAAGACGCAGCGCCAGGAGCAGCACAAGGGACACCCAGCACAGGGATCCAGCTTCTAATCCCCGTTCAGGGTCTCGACATCACCAGAAGCAGCAGCAGCAGCAGGCTGTGCCTGGTCCCTCCCTCCAGCTGCACTTGATAGCTGCTAAGGAAGAGCGGGAGATTAGCGAATCTTGTCTGACAACAGTGGCCTAGCATCCGGTGGTGCGTGGCACTGCCTGGCAGGTCCCGACACACGCCGAGGTGCCCGAAGGACAGTAGCGGCGCCAGTGGACCGACGGGCAGCGAGAGGGGGCTCCTAGGGATGAACCCACGGTAACTATCGGCAAGAATGTTCCCTCCGCTTGCTGCTTCGGGGTATTGGAAGCCTTGGAGGTGTTCTGGTGTCCAGCTGCTCTTGATGGCGCCTACTGTCCTCTAACCCTTGGTAGTGATCTGAACTGTTTCTTGACCACTGTAGGGGTCAATATTCTAAACTATATACAGAAAACTTTTTTGCATCTCATTCCCACAGTGGTTATGGATGTAAACTGTGCCGACTGAGCTTCCAATGGTCAAGAACACCACTGTAAACAGTGTACCATGACGTCCAGCGGTTGAGTCTGGTGTACGAGGTCGTACAATACCTACCGAAATATTTTCAGAGTCCATTAAAGTTTTGGACCGTAGTTGGAGAACAGAGTAGCCCTTAATTTTGATTTTGATTTTTGTAATCTTCGTGATATTTTTCCCCATTTACCATTTTTGTGGATTAGGAGCCACAGGAATATCCTTGGAATACCGACTTGTCTCTGGCCAGTCGCCTGGCTGTGCTCGATGAATCCCGAATTGATGAGTAGAACATTCCAGAAACCACTACTGCTGGGGGGCCAGCTTTTGTGGTCTTCACATCTCTCTAATACTCATCGATAGACACAGTCTAGTGAAACATCACCTGAGAGACCACAGCTCTTGGGTCGGCCTCAGCCACCCACCCTGCTGAGAGCAGCACTCTTCACTCTCACACTGATGCCAGCAGAACACACTACCAAGCACGTCATACAACACATGACATACACCAACTGCCATACGCTAAGAAAGGATAAAATTGAATTACCTGTATGTGTCAACGTACCGCCCAATTAGAGGCTCAATAAACCGCGTATGGTCGAGTAAGACTTTGGTAAAAATTTAAACCAATAGACCATCAATACAATAACATAACGTGACGAGTAGATGGTTGACTAATTTCGACAGGTGAGTCGAATTATTAATTACGCCCTGAGCTGATTACTTAAGCCACGTAAGACAGGGGGGCCAGAAGCCTCATAACTAGTATTCAACGTGATTGGCCGTTTGATTGATTGATTATTTGATTGACCGTCTTGCTGAGAACTTCTTGCAATCCCATACCAACCGGCCCAAAGCAACTGGTTCAAATCTGTCTGCTCTCTAATAAATCTGGTCCAAATCTGCCCGCTCTCTAATAAATCTGGTTCAAATCTGTCTGCTCTCTAATAAATCTGGTCCAAATCTGCCCGCTCTCTAAAAAAGGAAAAACCGCTCTTTTCCAACACAGTATACTTGATCAGGCTGGAAAGTCAAGATGAAGTAGTGAATATGGTTATTTTTTTACACATTTAATAGATTTAGCTTGTACAATGTGTGATATATATATATATATATATATATATATATATATATATATGTCGTACCTAGTAGCCAGAACTCACTTCTCAGCCTACTATTCAAGGCCCGATTTGCCTAATAAGCCAAGTTTTCCTGAATAATATATTTACTATAATTTTTTTCTTATGAAATGATAAAGCAACCCTTTTCTCTATGTATGAGGTCAATTTTTTTTTATTGGAGTTAAAATTAACGTAGATATATGACCGAACCTAACCAACCCTACCTAACTAACCTAACCTATATTTATAGGTAAGGTTAGGTTAGGTAGCCAAAAAAGCTAGGTTAGGTTAGGTTAGGTAGGTTAGGTAGACGAAAAAACATTAATTCATGAAAATATTAGGCAAATCGGGCCTTGAATAGTAGGCTGAGAAGTGCGTTCTGGCTATTAGGTACGATATATATATATATATATATATATATATATATATATATATATATATATAGTTAAAACTACTTTTTTTAAATAGAACCGATCAGCAAAATAAATATCAAAAAGACTGTATAATGTCCTAAAAACTGACTTGAGGTGAAAAAAAGGAGATTGTGAATTTATGAGGAAAGGATCACAATGTTATATGTACGTCGTAGAGCGTTATAAAGACGTAATGCACGTTAAAATAACGCAATATTTACGTTACTTGGTGTTGAAGGACGTTACACAACCCAAGTGAACTTTCCACACAACATCCTGGTTCTTAAGGAATCCCTTAAAATAAAATAATAAATGTAACTTTTTTATTAATATCTTTTGTGTTTTATTGACCGATCTGTAAAATTTAAGGAGATAGTAATGTTGCCGAAACACTACAGTCATCTCGAGGTAAAATGTGTTTCTGTATTTATTGAGCTTTCATGAAATATTTAGACGTTTGACACAACTGTAAACAATACTATGCACTTCAAACTGGTAAACAACACTTCATTGCAGACAAACTAACAAAGCAAACTGTCATTACAGAGATAACAAGAAGACAAGGAGACACAGTGAGGAAAAAATGGAAAAACAGATGAAGACAAACAAAATTTCCTTTTTTCTTGCTTTTCTTTTAAGTCTTATGAAGATGGAAAAGTTTGGAATAAGAAATTTACACAAAAAGCAAAACAAATTTCAATAAAAGAATAGAGTTTCCTCTATTCTTTTGAATAGAGGAACAATGAAATGACGGGTGAGTGAATAAGAGGATGAGAGAGGGAGCCGGAGATTGGACTCAACAGAGCTGCATGTATGTACATCCATGCATATATGCATGAATGTGTGTATGTGTGTGTGTGTGTGTGTGTGTGTGTGTGTGTGTGTGTGTGTGTGTGTGTGTGTGTGTGTGTGTGTGTGTCGGTTTACAGAACTGTGGTTTATTTTCCAGTCTATCCATCAACAAGATTTATCCTCTCCTCAGTCATCCATCACAATATGACTGAGCACCCAGCCAGCCACAGTTAAATAGTGACAGACCAGAGAGAGAGAGAGAGAGAGATTTAATTTTACTTAAAATATACACACAAACCACAAATTCCTAAACAGATACGCCAAGGCTGAAGGGAGAACAAAAAAAACAGTGAGACACAATCATCCCACACCTGTTTGCATACCAAAAAAAGCCTGCCACACCTGTTCCCACATATCTGCAGTACACCAAACCACTTAAGCCACGACTCCTCTACAGGCTGTATACAGGGCACAAGTTACCGTCCTCCAGTTAACTCTCCCCAGGTAAAACAACTGCCTATAATCACACACAGAGATCACACTAACGTGATGTATCAAATGAACAAATCCACAAGAACTTCGGTTTCAACCCTTTTACCCTGTCGTAGCTCAGTCGATTAAGGCAATGTCTGGGATGCTCCTGGACGCAGGTTCGAATCCTCGTCACGGCCCTTGTGGATTTGTTCAACTGCCTATAATCCATTACATTAATGATTATAGATCCTTACTCGTTATATTCACCATATGCACCTTTCCATTACACCAGGACATTAATGGGGCTCGGTCTCGGCCCTGCAATGCCCAGGAAGTCGAAGGTGGGTAAATAATTTCATAATAGATTTGACAAAAAACTATAATTTTAAGGAATAGAGAATGGCCACAGATAATCATCCGTCTGAAAGGTGAGTCATCCACCTCAAAGGTGAGTCATCCATCTCAAATCATAAAATTAAGAGTTGGGATGAGTTTCAGGCGCAGATTACACAAATATACATATTAATGAGTCTGGATGGATATACATAGGTATGAATAAGCCTATAATGCCTTTATGCAACTATGCTCGCCGTTCACGGAACCTTATTGCGACCCTTGGCGCTGTTTTAGTCCACTGTTGAACCTATTGGGTCTATCAACCTGGGTAAATACTGGATTGGAAACAAGGTTCTTGAATTATGGAACGAAACCGCTGGATAACACAAAATACGCGGGATCGTTGGAGTATTTCAAGTGTAGGTCATACACGAATCACCTTAGCTGGATGTAAATAGGAGTTGCCTCGTATTATTAAGGTCACCAAAACAGCTTATTACTGAACAACCAGGGAGTATATATTGATCAGTCCTGAACACGATCAGTACACAAACATTAGCGAATGCAATACCAAGAATTAAGCAAAGTAACAGGAGACAATCGACTTGAGAATGGACCATGGGGGCCAGATTCACGAAACCACTGACGCAAGCACTTACGAACGTGTACATCTTTCCTCAATCTTTAACGGCTTTGGTTACATTTATTAAACAGTTTACAAACATGAAAACTTGCCAATCAACTGTTGTTATTGTTATAAACAGCCTCCTGGTGCTCCGAAGCTCATTAACTGTTTAATAATTGTCAACAAAACCGCCAAAGATTGAGAAAAGATGTACAGGTTCGTAAGTGCTTTCGTGAATCTGGCCCCAGGACGGACCGAAATGTCGTCGTCCCTTCACCTTCTAGTGTGTGGTTTGGTCAACATATTTCAGCCACGTTATTGTGAGTCTTCGTCTGCAAGTAACAGGAGTCTTATGACAATTATTCAGAAAACAGTTACCTTGAACACATACTTAGAGCTGCACAGACAAGACTTAGTGGACTTAATAGACAAGACTCTCCAGACGCAGCACAGAAAAACGGATCAGTCAAAAGTAATCCTCGAAGTATTACTGTATTATCCAGCACATTATATTGTATTAATGAACAAATGTATTAATGATTTGTTCATTTGATGCATCACGTTAGTGTGATCTCTGTGTGTAATTGTATTGTATTATCTACATTGTATTATCTACATTGTATTATCTTCACAGCAATCCCTTCAAAACCTAAGTTTTGAAGGGATTACCTCGTCCTGTGAGCAGTGTTGCCCCAAAGACCTATACAGGTCATCAAAGGTCATCAGTAAGTCATATATGTACTGAAGTTCGCAGTTCATGGTTCAGGAAACGAATTGAGGTCAACCCATCCCTGAAGCTCTACTCGTCCACCCTCCCGCCGACCCCAAAGACGAATTCGTTGCAATTATAACGAGTCCTCTCAGCTAGGACGTACCACGTTGTAAGTCACGGTCTCTAACGTCAACATTACAAAATACTATGCAAACTAACGGCTCACAAATATCAACGTTCTCAATGCATTGGTAGGTTAGGTGTGGATTGGGTAGGTTAGGTTAGGTGTGGGTAGGTAAGGCGTGGGTAGGGTAGGTGTAAGGAGGTTAGGTTAGGATAGGATAGGCGTGGGTAGGTTAGGTGTGGGTTATCTTGAGACGATTTTGGGGCTTTAGTGTCCCTGCGGCCCGGTCCTCGACCAGGCCTCCACCCCCAGGAAGCAGCCCGTGACAGCTGACTAACACCCAGGTACCTATTTTACTGCTAGGTAACAGGGGCATAGGGTAAAAGAAACTCTGCCCATTGTTTCTCGCAGGCGCCCGGGATCGAACCCGGGACCACAGGATCACAAGTCCAGCGTGCTGTCCGCTCGGCCGACCGACTGGGTAGGTTAGGTGTGGGTATGTTAGGCGTGGGTAGGTTAGGTGTGAGGAGGTTAGGTTAGGATAGGCGTGGGTAGGTTAGGTGTGGGTAGGTTACTTGGATTTGTACGTATCAGGTTAGGGTAGCACCCTGTATTTCGTACGTCGTGACAAATCAAAGGGAAACGAGCACTGACTAGCCCAAACACACATTTTCTCGAGTACACCTTTACTATTAACGTGTACCATATTGTGTAGAGTTGGACCTAGGACAGGTTAGATTAGATTAGGTTAGGTTAGGTTAGGTTAGGTTAGGTTATTTTGTTCCCTTGACAATTACCAGCTTCCTCAGCACGTGGGTCAAGCATTAGATACGCGTCATTCGAACATATATAAAATAGAAACCAATGAACATAAATACAACTAAAAATATATATATTGGAAAGGCATCCTCTGTTCCAACGGAAATTAAATGCATCAAAGTGTGTGTGTAGCATTATATTCACATCTAGTTCCACCGCAAACACACACACAACACCGCTCCTGTGCCAGGTAAGTCCACTACGGGCTCACCATAGCCCGTGCTACTTGCCCCGCTCCTGTGCCAGGTAAGTTACGGGCTCACCATAGCCCGTGCTACTTGCCCCGCTCCTGTGCCAGGTAAGTTACGGGCTCACCATAGCCCCTGCTACTTGCCCCGCTCCCATGCTAGGTAAGTTACGGGCTCACCATAGCCCGTGCTACTTGGAACTTGTTCCCAGTAGCTAAATCTATAACAACAACACCACAAACAGGTCAGCCGTAAGCAAACTCGGTTTCCTCTGCTGGTTAATGCTGCCTGTAGTCTGCGTGAAGGCTTACAC